CAGCAGGTGCGGGGTCAGAGACAGTCGCGGCCTTGCCTTGAGCGCCGGCCGGACGTTTGCGGCATTCAGCCATTTTGTGACCCGCGCCACCGCAGAACATGCAGAGGTTGTTCTTCATGCGTCGCTCGTGTTCCTCCGGCTTGAGCTTGCCGGTGGAGTCGAGCTTGGCAGCGTACGGTTTCGCCTGCTTGGACCCGGAAGCCTGAGCCGCGTTACTGTTGGCCGGAGTATTGGCCGGAGGATTGGTCTTGGGAGGGGAGTTGGATTTTCCACCGCCCTTGCCTTTACCCTTGGACTTTCCACCACCGCCACCACCTCCCGAGGCCGCAGCACCGGAAGAATCGCCGGAAGACTTTCCGGCCGGAGGCGGATTCGCAGCAGCACGCTCGTTCGCGCGCTCAGTGTTGCGGCGATGATACCGCTGATCGAGCTGCGAGGCGAGGGCTTTCAGCGCGGCAAGAGTGACCGGAAGCTGATTCTGCGCCATGGTGTCCTTGATACGGCTTGGAAGGCCGCGGTAAAATGCCCAGAAAAGGGCGGCCTCGTTATACCCAGTCATAACCGCATGGGTGTCGAACTCGAGCTGGTAAGTCGCCAGCCGATCTCCAGGCTTCATGGAGAGAGTCTCCAATGAAATCCACGCGTCGCCGAAGGGATCGTGCGGGCCGAAATTCGTCGCAAGCTCTTGAACGAAGAGCTCCCAATTCCCATCCCAGAATGGAATGGGCGCTTGTCCGTCAGCGAAGATGTTGGGCTGAAACCACTGCTGAGCCGTTCCGCGAAGATACGACCGGACCTAGAAGATTTTCTCGTCGTCGGTCGGAAAGTCTTGCGGACGTTCCGCTATGTGCAGGTAGATCTGCGACATGAAAGTGGCGAACTTCGATGGGTCGGAGCCATCGAAAGTATCCGGAGCGCGGGAGGAAGTACGAGTGGAGCGAGGAGGGGCGACAGAATTCCGAGCGAGGAGAGCCATAGCATCAGCCATTTGTTGAACGGCATAGTCTAGCTGAGGGTTATGCGGAGCCGGAATATGAAGCGTAGGGCCGGGGGGCCCTTGCGGACCGGGAGGACCTGGAGGACCTGGAGGTGGAGCCAAACCAAATGGTCCGCCACCACCACCGCCGCCACCTCCACCGCCACCAGGTCCTGGATCCGGAGCCGGAGCACCGGAACCGGAAGGAATTCCAGCCGGAATGGAGGGATGAGGCGAAGACGCATCGCCAGGAGGCGGGCCTCCACCTCCTCCACCGCCGCCGGAACCACCACCTCCACCGCCGGGTGAGCCGGAAGGCCCAGGAGGCGGGGGGCGGAAAAGAACCAGTGGGAAGAGAAGTGGATTGTGGGGCGTTCGGGTCAGGAGCAGGAGTTTGAGCTCTACCTTTACCCTTATCAACTGTCTCCAAAGGAGGAGCAGTCGCCACACGCCGTCCAAGGTACGGATAAATCACGCCCGTATCACGAGGCGGAAAATCAGTTGGTACAGGCTGCTGTTCGAGAGGGTCCGTAGGATCGTAAACCTCCGGAAGTTCTTCAATAGCCGTAGTTACCGGTTGGTAGGATACGCGTTGGCGATTAGGGGTAGGCGATCGCATACTGCTTCCACCTGATTGACGATCATACTCTCGAAAATCCATCAGCTGAGGATATGCCGTACCGGGATAATGGGAACCGGTTGGGGAAAAGCTGAACTGCTGAGGACGGAGAGCAGCACCGCGCGCATCTTGAGCGAGAAGTGGGCGAGACCACATTGTTGGAGCATTCGGCCGTAAAGGCCGGGATTCCTCAAAACGAGGCTGCGCGCGAGAGCGAAGATCTTGTGGGGAAGAGATGATGCCAGAGACATTGTCGTAGGTGAGCTGTCCCGGAACGACGATCGGAACGATGTTGCTGAACTGACGCGAATCGCGTCGACGGTTCCGGAAGTCGGGGGTATTGGCGAGGTGGCTGTAAGACATTGAGCCAAATTAGGTTGAGTTGAAAATACTGTTATATCCGTGTCGGAAAAGGCCGGAAGGACGGAAGGCCGGAAAGACGTAAAGGCCGGAAAGACGGATAGGGCCGTAAGTGATACCACGTAGGAGATCGGGTACACCAACTAACTTGGCTCGACGACGAGGAGAGCAGAAGTCAGACCACGGAGCAATGCGGAGGCAAAGCACGTTAATTTTCAACTAAAGATACAGTAGAACATAATACGTATTTATACTAAATACGGAGATAAGTCTAATGCGGAAGAAGTATATAAAAGACAATAAGAACAATAAGAACAATAAGAGAGAAGCATAGTTGCATGAGTCATATGTTTGATTTGGGGAACGCTCAGAAGACCTTCATTGCGAAAACCCCAAAGGTTGTGCGTCAACGGAACTAGCCGGAGCATCGGAAAGTTGGTTGGACCGTAATGGCCGTAACCATAACCGGAAAGGCCGTAAACAGCCGGAAAGTGCATGATCGTAACACAAATCCGCAATAATATTTTATTTTGGCATGCTTCCAAAATCTGGCTCCCCGGCCAGAATTTCTGTCTACCTAGCTCAAATCATGTTGGTTGGCTCTGAAATTTTGTGAGGAGCAGTTCCTATGCATTAGGAGGATTATCATAGAGCCAAAAATAATTATCTGCTTTTCCTAACATGTGTACCGTGCTTTAGAGATATTTTGAGCAGCAATACATGCATTGCTCTAATTATTTCAGTTCTCGACCAAATAGACTGTTCAAGCGAGCCAACGCGACGTCAATCGCCTCTCCCAATGTTCACCTTGTTGATTCCGCATCATATGCTGGTTGAACATTACTAATTACTAATTAGGTCGCGTGGTGTCGTGGTGCAGTAACCATCAAGTTGCCGTGACAGTCCCAGCCACTCGACTCTTTTTCCCCTCCACTTCCCTGAATCTCCAACACTGGTGGAGTAATGGGCAATTTGAATCATAGCCCACAGCTAAAAACAACTGCCTTCTATGATTGTGTATATTTTATATCCAGTATCTCATTTCCGGAACTGCTAGTTCTTAAACAAAGGTTGTAGAGTATTCATTCTGAAGCTAATTCACATCCCCGCATCCAGCTCTGATAAGCGGACGTCAATAGCCATCACAGGCCTCTGTAGCATCCACTGGGTTTGTAAGGGTTGATAGTAATGGGTAACTGGAAAACGAGAGTGAAATAATCAAGGACATGACAAGTATTATTCGCTGTGAACCCTGTGCAAAATGTTTCCCTGTCAATTTTCTGAGCTGAGCTGCTCGAGGTGTACTCAGGGACTTGTGGACTCGCTCTTGATGTAGATTTGCGTGGATAACAAGGCCTGTTGCAGTTGCGACAGTATCAGTCTGGGGGAATGTGAGCAGTTGAACTATGGTCACAGATGGTTCACTTATGGAAGTGGAAGGGAAAAAGAATCGAGGCTGGCTGGGACTGTCACGGCAACTTGATGGTTACTGCACCACGACACCACGCGACCTAATTAGTAATTAGTAATGTTCAACCAGCATATGATGCGGAATCAACAAGGTGAACATTGGGAGAGGTGATTGACGTCGTGTTGGCTCGCTTGAACAGTCTATTTGGTCGAGAACTGAAATAATTAGAGCAATGCATGTATTGCTGCTCAAAATATCTCTAAAGCACGGTACACATGTTAGGAAAAGCAGATAATTATTTTTGGCTCTATGATAATCTTCCTAATGCATAGGAACTGCTCCTCACAAAATTTCAGAGCCAACCAACATGATTTGAGCTAGGTAGACAGAAATTTTGGCCGGGAGCCGGATTTTGGAAGCATGCCAAAATAAGATATTATTCCGGATTTGGCTCTATCACTAATTACGCCTCAATTAGCCTGAAAGTTCTAGCTATCTTTCGAGTGAATCCGTGCAGAACTGACAGAGATACAAGCAATTCTTTCGAAGAGATCAAAAACAGCTAAAAATGGAAATTTTTCGTTCGTGCCTTCGGTACTGTTATTAGCTGTAATCAAATTACAGCCAGAATCGTGTCCAGAATCGTTGTCAGAATCGCCCATTTAAATTCTACTCTGACCGTACCTAATGAAGAATTCTCGGCGGCTGCGATGAATTTGGCCACCGAGCTGATGCCTGATGCGGCGGCATCCAAATTCCGAAGCAGCCCTTCCAATTACAGGTGAGTGGCAACAGGCCGAGGGTTAGAAAGCTCAAGTCCAGTTTCAGGTAGGAGACCAATGAGGTGTGCGAAAGAGAGTAGGAGTCAGGGACAGAGGTTTTTCTGGAGATGTGGATGAGAGCGAAAGGAGAGGTGCAAATTCGGCAATCATCACGCATCGGTTGGGGCTGTTGTGTCCATGAGGCAACGTACTAGTAGAAAATCAGAGGAAATCCACTTTGCATTTTCTTAGAGCAGAAACGAAGAGAAAAAAGCTGCTGATACAACCAGACACAGGGAGTCGAGCCCCGAAGCCTCCGAATTCACCCGGAGCCCTGTTGCAAAGATACTTAGAGGTGGTGTACCGTACACGATGTCCGATTTGTTGCCTTGTTGAGAACAGTTCTAAGTGTGCATATTTGGAAGCAGAATGAGGAGAAAAATGATATACGGATACATCTTGATTGTCATCTGTATAGAGGTCTGTAACAGAGACTAAGGAAAATGCCAGTCCCTACTCTATTCAGACAGTCGAACCCCGAGCTGTCTCCGAACTCATCCGGACTCGAGCCCTGTTGCAAAGATAGAGGTGGTATACCGCAAGCACATAATGTCAGATTTATTGCCTTGTTGAGAACAGTTCTAAGTGTGCATTTTTGGAAGCAGAAATAAGGAGAAAAAAAAGCTGGTCGCTCATCTATTCAGACATGGGGAGTCGAGCCCCAAGCTGCCTCCGAATGCTGCACGAGGAATGGCATGCAAAGAGACGGTGTGCCGCACACCATGTCTGATTTATTGCCTGGTTGAGAACAGTTCTGAGTGTGCATTTTTGAAAGCGAAAATGTCGAGAAAAAAGGTTGTTCGAACCGAATTATTCGGACACAGGGAGTCGAACCCCGAGCTGCCTCTGAATGCTGTTAGGAAGCGCATCCAAAGAGGCGGTGCACCGCACACCATGTCCGATTTATCAACCTGGTGGAAAACTTCAGTAAGGGTGTGATTTGTTTGAAACTGCGAATGGAAAGAAAAACTGTGAGAACCTAGTACCATTCGGGCACAGGAAGTCAAACCCTAAGCTCCTAAGCTGCCTCTGAACAACCGGAAGCACCGAGGCGGTATACCATGGTCCGTATATGATGTTCAATTCATTGTCTGGTTGAGAACTATATATCATGAATGTGCATTTCTTAGAGCAGAACTGGAGATAAAAAATGCTTTCGAAATCATTCAGACACGGGAGTCAAACCCCGAACTGCATCCGACAACTAACTTTCTTTTAAATTTAAATGATCAAAGTAAGTCTACTTAACACAGAAAATATACAACACCTGATAATAGGGTATATGAGTAGCCAAAATCATATTTAAAGACAGACTCACTACTGTTCATCTTTCAGAATGTCTGTGTAGCTTGTGTAGAAGGCAGCAGCAGCCCGTAAGGAGCTCCCATATTATCCTGCTGCTGCATTGACATTGGTAAACACTGCTTTCAACAAGGATGTGGACAATCTCTGTGTGGCCCTGGCAGTAGGCAGCCTGCAATGCACTCCCATATTTTCCCCCTGCTGCATTGATATCAGCACCCTCCTCAACAAGGATCTGGACAATCTGTGTGTGACCTTTGTAGGCAGCAGCCTGCAATGCACTCCCATATTTCCCCCCTGCTGAATTGACATTGGCACCCTCTTCAACAAGGATCTGGACAATCTTTGTCTGGCCCCGGTAGGAAGCAATGTGCAATGCACTCCCATATGTTCCCCACGCTGCATTGGCATCAGCACCCTTTCCAAGAAGCATAGAGACAATCTCTGTATGGCCCTGGTGGGAGGCAGCCCATAATGCACTCCCATATGTACCCCATGCTGCATTGGCATCAGCACCCTTTCCAAGAAGGATAGAGACAATCTCTGTGTGGCCCTGGTGGGAGGCAGCCTGTAATGCACTCCCGTATATTCCCCCTGCTATGTTGACATTAGCACCCTTTTCAAGGAGGAAAGAGACAATCTTTATGTGGCCTCTGTAGGAGGCAGCCTGCAACACACTCCCATATTCAGTGTGTTTTGGCAAGAAGTGCTCAAATTTTGTCCATGATGCATTGACATCAGCCCCCTTTGAACAAGGATCTGGACAATCTGTGTGTGGCCCCAATAGGAGGCAGCCTGCAATGCACTCCCATATGCTCCCCCTGCCACATTGACAACAGCACCCTTTTCAAGCAGGATACAGACAATCTCTGTGTGGCCTCTGTAAGAGGCAGCCTGCAAGGAGCTCCCATATTCTCCCCTGGCTGCATTGACATTGGCACCACTTTCAAGAAGTATCTGGACTATCTCTGTGTGGCCCCAGTAGGAGGCAGCCTGCAAAGCACTCCCATACTCTCCCCCTGCTGCATTGGCATCAGCACCATTTTCAAGAAGGAAAGAGACAATTGCTGTGTGGCCACTGTAGCAAGCACACTGCAACAAGCTCCCATAGTCAGTGCTGACTGGCCAGAGGTCCTCAACTACTGCATATGATGTATTGGCATCAGCACCCTTTTGAAGAAGGATAGAGACAATCTCTGTGTGGCCCTGGTAGGAGGCGGCCTGCAATGCACTCCCATGTTTTCCGTCTGCTGCAGTAACATCAGCACCCTTTTCAGCAAGGATTTGGACAATCTCTGTGTGGCCCAAGAATGAGGCAGCCTGCAATGCACTCCCATATGTTCCCCCTACTGCATTGACATCAGCACCCTTTTCAAGCAGGATACAGACAATCTCTGTGTGGCCACTGTGGGATGCGGCCTGCAATGAGCTTCCATATTTTCCACTGGCTGCATTGACATTAGCACCACTTTCCAGAAGGATCTGGACAATCTCTATATGTCCACAGTAGGAGGCAGCCTGCAATGCACTCCCATATTCACCCCGTGTGGCATTGACATCGGCACCCTTTTCAAGAAGGAAAGCTACAAGTTTTGTGTGGCCTCTGGAGGAGGCAGCCTGCAAGAAGCTCCCATATTCTTTGTCTTCCCAGAAGTCCTTGGATTTAACCCATGATGCATTGACATTGGCACCCTTTTCAACAAGGATGTGGGCAATCTTTGTGTGACCATGGTAGTAAGCAGCCTGCAGTGCACTCCCATATTTCCCCCCTGCTGCATTGATATCAGCACCCTCTTCAACAAGGATCTGGACAACCTCTGTAAGGCCTTTGTAGGAGGCAGCCTGCAACAAGCTCCCATATGTTTCCTCCGCTGCATTGACATCAGCACCCTTTTGAACAAGGATCTGGACAATCTCTGTGTAACCCTGGTAGGAGGCAGCCTGCAAGGAACTCCCATATTCTCCCCCAGCTGCATTGACATTGGCACCGCTTTCAAGAAGGATCTGGACAACCTCTGTATGTCCCCAGTAGGAGGCAGCCTGCAATGCGCTCCCATATTCACCCCTTGTGGCATTGACATCAGCACCCTTTTCAAGCAGGATACGGACAATCTCTGCATGGCCTCTGTAGGAGGCAGCCTGAAAGGAGCTCCCATATTCTCCTCTGGCTGCATTGACATTGGCACCACTTTCAAGAAGGATTTGGACAATCTGTATGTGGCCCCAATAGGAGGCAGCCTGCAATGCACTCCCATATTCTCCTCCTACTGCACTGACATCAGCACCCTGTTCAAGCAAGATATGGACAATCTCTGTATGGCCTCTGCAGGAGGCATCCTGCAGTGCACTCCCATATCTTCCTCCTGCTGCATTGACATCAGCACCCGCTTCAACAAGGATCTGGACAATCTGTGTGTGGCCCTGGAAGGAAGCAATGTGCAATGCACTCCCATATTTTCCCCATGCTGCATTGGCATCAGCACCACTTTTGAGAAGGATCTGGACTATCTCTGTGTGGCCCCAATAGGAAGCAGCCTGTAATGGACTCCCATATTTTCCCCCTGCCGCATTGACATTAGCACCCTTTTCAAGCAGGATACAGACCATCTCTGTGTTGTCTCTGTCAGAGGCAGCAGCAGCTTGCAATGCACTCTGATACTCTCCTCTTGCTGCATTGACATTGACACCCTTTTCAAGAAGGATATAGACAATCTCTTTGTGACCATAGTGTGATGCTACAATGATCTCTTGTTCCATTGACTGCTGTGGTGATGGTGCTAGCTCCAGCAGAAAATTTGCAGTGTCCACAAGGTTTGTAGCTGCTGCAATCCACAATGCAGAGGGTTCTGATGGCCAGTCTGGATAATCCCATGGTGGGGAATTCCATTTCTGCCCCATTGCTTTCTTCCATTGAAATGCCCTACCAACAAATTCTAGAAGGATTTCCTGGAGTTGGGATTCAGGCTGTCCAGCAACATGTGCAAGACAATATTGAGAATACTCAACAACAGGGGGCAGATCACTCCTCATCCAGAAGGGATTTGGATATCCCTCAAAGGCTAGGACTGTGAGCAGAGTGCGTGTTATCTCTGTTTGTGCATGTGGGAATAGCACAGCCTGAATGCTATCCAAATATTCCTGTGTGGTGTAGTGGACGAGTCGTACCACAGAAGAGCCCTTGTCTACAATGACAAGCCCAGCACAGACAGACAGAATAATCTGGATGTCCAGAACATTGTCTTCATCAAGTTTCCAGGCTTCTGGCTCAATAGCCAGAGCAACTGTTATTTCGGAGACTTTCAATGGCCGCTTTGCATTAGCAACCCAAACGAGGGTGGATTGAGCAGTCCTTCTGTCTTCCTCACTCTGGGCCTCGATTCGCTGCATTGCAATATCATAGCTGTCATTAAGACTTTTTGGTAGCTCCTTCAAAGCTTCCCTAACAGCCTTTATAGTGTTCCTTATGCTGAGAGACTCCATGTGAAGCTTGGCCAACAGGAACCTAGTCAGAATTTATGTTAGTTGCTTTTGGACATAGGTGGTTCTGCTTACATTCCATCTGCAGCATCGGTGATCTTTGCATGTATTTCTTCTCGTAACTCAGGTTGCTTCTGAACATGCTTGGACAGGCAGGGAGACAACTTGATCTGTGTATCAATATATCCTTGAATATCCTCCAGTGCCGCCTGAATATCTAGTATTTCAAGCTCAGGAAAGCAGGAAGGCTCTGGAGAAATGTTCGGCCGTGAAGTGATCATCAAGTTCACATTGCTACCCATTGCTGCTAGATGTGAGAGTAAAACTTCTCGTTGAAGTTCAGGATATTCATCCATGGCATCAACAATAATGAAGACCTTTGAAAACTCCTTGAGGCTAGAGCTGAGAACATCAGCAACTTCTTCCAGCAATGGTGCAGTGTTCTTCTCTTGGTGCTGCTGATACAACTCCTTTGCTACAGAGCCGACATCCCTGCCATGTACAAGCTGTCTCCAGAGACCTGCCAGAAGCTTAGATGGTGTTTGGTTGTCAGCTTCCTTGTGGTTCAAATACATGCAAGCCACACCAAGGTCCTTGTTGTTTCTGCATGCAGCATTGAGGTGATCCACAACCATTGATCTAAAGACATCATAATTAGTAGCAGCCACTCAATGTCTACAATTGACACACGCAAGGACAGTTTTCCCTGCACCAGCTGTATATTTCAGCTTTGTTAGTCCAGGATTCATGAGGGCAATGAGTTACATACGAATTCCACGGCACCAAAGTGTCCTTCTGGAACCAGATTCCCATTGCTTAAAGAGAGGATTTTCAAGCAGCCACCCACCAGTTCCTTTCACCCGCAACTGTGAAATATCTGCCTGTTGTGGAAAAAAATTGATAGGTGAAAGCCAGTTAAGGAAGTCTTGGCGCAGAATATTCCTTATTTCCTCTTTCTCGGTGCCTTGGTTTATCGCAATATGTATGATTTCAGCAGTAGCATTCAGAATGGGGCCAAGCCCAGGACCTCCATCGCCACCCTGTTGCCCACCTGTTCCACCATTGCCTCCTGTCCCTCCTGGGTAAAATAATTACAGATGTCAGTATCCTAGTGCATTGACACACACCTTTCATGTTAACTACATAGGAACTACTTGGTTCACGAGGCATGGCCATTCTGCATAAGTGCAGAGTCTATATATGAGTATATCAGCCAGTGCTGAAAGTCAGATGGTAAACAGAACTGACTGAAGAGAATGGAGTGTTGCAGTACACTTGGGGGTGGTAATGTATTGGGCAAAGACAAGTATAAGATGAGGGGTCCGAGAAAAAATGGACAGGCCACATCACTTCACTCTCTTTATAAGATTAGGCAAAGCCGTATCCCCGTATGGTTAAATTGCGCAGCATGACCAACACACTGGCACGGCAGATTAGCGCCATCCTACCAACATGCGGAAAGTGATCCTTATAGTCAGCCCCACTCACATGCCGAGCTACAGGCTCCAGAGAACTTGAGAAGAGCTTGATGTCTGCCATAGTCGAGATGCCGTTTTGGGCGGATCAATTATTTTTTGGAAGTTATTCACTTGACAGACTGTTCCCTCCTCGGCTTCGCATGCAATATCCACTAGAGTTAGTTGTCGTTAACCCCAGCTTTACACCACATTTCTGAGTCTGCAAATTGCGGAACATTTCAAAACAACTTTCTCAGCTTGCTCTACAAAAAGTCACAATAAATGAGCTGAGCAAGTGGGGGGCCGGCGACCGCTTGTTGCGCTTTAAATTAGACACAAGACCGTAGCGGCAGATCCGGCGAAGTAGTTGGCCTCACTGTTCCCGCCCAGTACTTACGGGAACATCAAACTTGGATTGATGTGGCGCTTCGACGATGACAGGCAGCTGACAGTGACGCTTCCATATTGGGCTTCCGAATGCACTGTTGTAGTCCGCTCGCAATGCAGATCAGTCGGATTTTTACCTCAGTTTCAGTGAGCTGGAGGATAATAGCCACATGCCCTGAACGAGGACTTGAAGGTGACGCGTGGTCGTCGCATTATTAGTGTGCCGTACTTACGTTGGTGTCGAACTTGGATTGACAGTGGCGTATCGGCATGGCAGCAAGATTTGCACTGACGGCCAGGAATCAATATTGGGAACCTAGTCAAAGATACAAAAGAAAAATCTGCGAATGTAGGCTATGACCTGCATTAAATTAGCTCTTGTTGGAAATGGACTTCAACCTCTGATGAGGAGGCGCCAACGACTTCCTCTTCCAGATCGACGGTCGTACCGTGATTACCGTCGACATTGACGAATCTACATAGCTCCCCTTCGGTGCCTGCGGCGATGTGTGTCCCGGTCACGAAGCATGCCGTAGATCACGCGTCCCATTTCACTTCCGGTGCATATTTATCGCCGACGTGCTTATTGTTGGACAGCCAAGGCGCGCGCGTCCCACTACCTCGCTGCTGCCTTCTCCGCGGGCCTCTTCCCACTCCGCTCGTTCGCCCTCGCATGCACCTTCCTCGTGTACCCCTCCGCCAAGTACCCCCGGCGGGAATGGACCCCTTCGCCGTTGGCCCTATTCCTGTGCGCCGCTCGCGCTGGTCATCTTCTTCCCTCTCCACGCACTCTGCCTACGTTATGGTCCCGACGCTCTGAAACGACGACGCTGAAGAGTAGCGGCCCGCCTCCTTCCTCGGCCCGTCATTCATCACGCTGGATCCGCCAAGCACCAGCAGCAGCCGACCACGACGAACAGGCTCATCTCGCGCGCTTCAGCGTTCGCGCCCCACAACGGCGACGGCGACCAGAACGAGCCCCGCAGCACGCGGGTGAACGGCATTTTACCGTCGTGCATCTTCCCGAATGCAACGGGCACGCGGACTTGATGTGGTGGTACTAGGCGGCTCAGCAGGGGCAGTGGGGCATATCACTCTCACCATCTGCTACAAACGGAACCACTGAGGCGGTATACCATGGTCCGTATACGATGTTCGATTTATTGTCTGGTTGAGAACCATCATGAATGTGCATTTCTTGGAGCAGAACTGGAGATAAAAAAAGCCTTCGAAATCATTCAGACACGGGGAGTCGAACCCCGAGCTGCCTCCGAATACTTCGCTGGAGAGATTATGCAAAGAAGCCGTGTACCGTACACCATGTCCGATCTATGGCCTGCTTGAGAACTCCAGTGGGTGTGCAATTCCTTTGGAGTACAAACGGCAGAAAAAAGCCAGCTTGGAAATGATTGTAATTCAGACACAGGGAATTGGACCCCGAACTGCCTCCGCCTGCGGGCGACGAGCTATCCAAAGAAAGAGGCGATGTACCGTACACGATGTCCGATTTATTGCCTGGTTGAGAACTGCGGATTACTTGAAGCAGGAATAGAAAGAAAAAGAAACTTCATGCCCTCGAGCTACTCAGACTTAGGGAGTCGAACCTCCGAATGCTTTGTGAAAGAATGACTGCATGCAAAGAGCTTACGGTACACGATATCCAATTTATGGCCGGTTGAGCACTGTTATGGGTGGGCATTTTTTGGAAGCAGAAATGGGAGGAAAAAAAAAACTTTCTCCGAGACTGCCATAATATTCAGACATGGGGAATCGAACCCCAGACTGCACTCTGATGTTTTGCCTGAGGATACAACAATCGAGGCGGTGTATACTGTACACCATGGTCTGAGTTATCGCCTTGTAGAGAATTGTTCTTAGTGTGTGTTTTGAGGCAGAAATGGAGAGAAAACAAGAGACAAACGGACGCATTCAGACACGGGGAGTCGAACCCCGAGCTGCCTCCGAATGCTTCATTAGAAAGATGATGGAAAGAGGCCGTGTACCGTACACCATGTCCGATTTATTGCCTTGTTGAGAACAATTCTAAGTGTGCATTTTTGAAAGCAGAAATAAGGAGAAAAAAGCTACTCGCTACTCTATTCAGACACGTGGAGTCGAACCCCAAGCTGCCTCCGAATGCTGCGCAAGAAACTGAATGCAAAGAGACGGTGTGCCGCACACCATGTCCGATTTATTGCCTGGTTGGGAACTGTTCAGAGTGTGCATTTTTGAAAGCAAAAATGTAGAGAAAAAAGGTTAAACCGATTCAGAACTATTCGGACACAGGGAGTCGAACCCCGAGCTGCCTCTGAATGCTGTTAGGAGGCGCATGTAAAGAGGCGGTGTACCGCACACCATGTCCGATTTATCAACCTGGTTGAAAACTTCAGTAAGGGTGCGAGTTGTTTGATACTGCGAACGGAAAGAAAAACTGTGACAACCTGGTACCATTCGGGCACAGGGAGTCGACGACTCGAACCCTAAGCTCCTAAGCTGCCTCTGAACAAGCGGAAGCACTGAGGCGGTATACCATGATCCGTATATGATGTTCGATTTATTGTCTGGTTGAGAACTATCATGAATGCGCATTTCTTGAAGCAGAACTGGAGATAAAAAATGCTTTCGAAATCATTCAGACACGGGAGTCGAACCCCGAACTGCATCCAACTACTTATACATTTCATCATGATATGCAAAGAGACCTGTTGAAGTTAGCACATGGTTTTACTGTGCCAACTGTTGGCAACCGGACTATTCCAAGTCCGAGGCTTCTTTCATGTGCAGATTTGCGTCCGCAGTGATATTTAATCTTTTCTCCACATGCCTACATCTTGTTGTGACTCATTCTGACTCGTACTGACTCACTATGACTCGTTTCTATTCATTTCCGTAGCCGGAGTTATTCCGAGGATTATCCTGCTCTAGTATATATACTCTTGTATGTACTTTAGACAATTGCCAATCACTTTTTGTGTTAGCACTTCATTCTCAACAAGACCGTGTACCATGCACCATGTTCGATCTATGGCCTGGTTTAGAACTCCAGTGGGTGTGCAATTCCTTTAGAGTACAAACGGACAGAAAAAAAGTAGTTCAAATTTACCATTGTTATTCAGACACGGGGAATTGAACCCCGAATGCCTCCGCCTGCGGGCGACGAGCTATCCAAAGGAGGAGGCGATGTACCGTACACCATGTCCGATTTATGGCCTGGTTGAGAACTGTCATGGATGCGGATTACTTGAAGCAGGAATAGAAAGAAAAAGAATCTTCATGCCCTCCGAGCGAGCTACTCGGACACGGGGAGTCGAACCCCGAGCTGCCTCCGAATGCTTGGTTTCCAGTGAACAGTCAATACAGGAGGCCGTGTACCTTACACCATGTCCGATTTATTGCCTGGTTGAAAGCTGTTATGGGTGGGCATTTTTGGAAGCAGAAATGGGAAGAAAAAAGAAAAAAAAATTCGAGACCGCCTATTCAGACATAGGGAATCGAACCCCAGACTGCACTCCGATGTTTTGCCTGAAGATACCACAATCGAGGCGGTGTATACTGTACACCATGTCTGATTTATCACCTGGGTAGAGAATTGTTCTGAGTGTGCGTTTTGAGGCAGAAATGGAGAGAAAAAAGGAGTTCAACCGAAATCTCATTCAGACACGGGGAGTCGAACCCTGGGCTGCCTCCGAATGGTTCAGAAAGAGACATGCAAAGAGGCCGTGTACCGTACACCATGTCCGATTTACTGCCTGGTTGAAAACTGTTATGGGTGTGCATTGTTGGAGCAGAACAGGAGACAAAAAACGTTCTCGGCTGTCGACGATATTCAGACACGGGGAGTCGAACCCCGGGCTGCCTCCGAATTCTCCCAGAGCCATACTGAAAAGATAGAGGCGGTGTACCGTACACGATGTCTGATTCATCACCTGGTTGAGAATTGGTACGAGTGTGGATGTCTTGAGGCAGAACTGGAGTGAAAAAGTCGTTCGACGTTCAGGCCATTCAGACACGGGGAGTCGAACCCCGAGGTGCCTCCGAGTTTATTGGGGGGAACTCATGGAAAGATAGAGGCGGTGTACCGTACACGATGTCCGATTTATGACCTGGGTGAGAACTGTTATGAGTGCGGATTACTTGAAGCAGGAATAGAAAGAAAAAGAATCTTCTCTGCTCGAGCTACTCAGACACGGGGAGTCGAACCCCAGGCAGCCTCTGACATGCAAAGTTGACCTCCAGGGAGTGAGACGGTGTGCCGTACACAATGTCTGATTTATTGCCTGGCTGAGAACAGTTCCGAGTGTGGATCTTCTTGAAGCAGAATTGGAGAGGGAAAAAAGTCTCCTGTTCGAATTACTCAGACGCGGGGAGTCGAACCCCGAGCTACCTCCGAGTTCAGCTGGAACTCTCTTGCAAAGATAGAGGCATGTCCCATACACCATGTCCGATTTATGACCTGATTGAGAACCGTTATGGGTGCGCATTTTTGGAAGCAAAAATGGAGAGAGAAAAACGCTGACACCTAGTAACCCATTCGGACACGGGGAGTCGAACCCCAGACTACCTCCGAATTCACACAACCTCGGGTACAAAGATAGAGGCGGTGTACCGTACACCATGTCCGATTTATTGCCTAGTTGTGAACAGTTCTGAGTGTGCATTTTTGGAAGCAAAAATGGAGAGAGAAAAATCCATACGAGACTCGCCATTCAGACACGGGGAGTCGAACCCCGCGCTGCCTCCGAATGCTTCCTTAGAGGAACTATCTGGAACTATGCAAAGTTTAAGAGGCCGTGTACCGTACACCATGTCCGATGTATGACTTGGTTTGGAACTGCAAAAGGTGTGATTCACTGGCGAAACGGTCCGAAAGGAAGATCATGACTGCAGAATTCGTTGGAAACCGTGTGAAACGCGGCCAACACGGCGAGTGCACGTCATGAGCGGTGGCTGTGCTTTTATCTCTTGTACGACGACTCCAATTTTCCGTTGACGCCGCCATGTCCGCCTCCGCCCCCTCTGGCGCATCCGGCGCTTCTGGCGCTTCTGGCGCACCATCCGGCGCATCCGGCGCATCTGGCGCATCCGGTGCCTCAGCCTCAGCTCCCACCCCCCCTCCAGCCTCCAACTCCGTCCCCAACGCGCCCTCCATCGCACAGACGAACCCGCCCGGCTTCGCGAGCTTCACGCAGCCGCCGCAGACGGCCACGAGCTTCTTCAAGATCGCGGAGAACCAGATGATCACCATTGCGTGGAACCTCACCAGCGTCATCGCGATCCCCACGAGCCTCACGCTCAACGCCGTGGGCGACAACGGGAACACGTACCCCGTGGGGTCAGACCCGTCGGGGCATGTTCCTGGGACAGCGACGAGCGTCGTGTGGGATATCTATTCGTATAACCAGGTGCACTTTCCCCCATTTCTTGAATATTTGGGATTTGTGATCGAGGTGGTGATGATGCTAACGACAACCTGCAGGCACACCCTGGGACCCCGCTCGCACAGGGATCGTATACGCTGCACATGTGGGACGACCGCGGCCCCAGCGCGACCGCCCGTGCGGGGTACATGAGCCCCAATACCGCCCTCTCGTTTGCCATGTACACACCGCAGGCGTACACCCCGTTGTCTAGTGGTGAGTCGGCTTCTCGACTCTACTTTACTGTACTGTACTGGACTCTGCTCTCTGCGTTGCTTCGTGGCACGGGGGAGGGACGCCGCCGCGTTACCCACGGGCGGCGTGTAACCTCCGAACGGGTTACCTGTCGTCCATTCTCCTCCCTATATTTATATTCACCGCACACGCGTCCGGTCCCCCCCTCCCTGACGTCCTTCTTCCACTCCTCCCTCCCTTCCCGCTCTCGTCCTGCTTTTCTTTTCTTACCTTGCCCCATCCATCCACACCGTACCGCACGCCGTTAGCACCGGCGCGGCGTGCAAACTCCGTGCCGGGCTCTCGTCCTCACCCCGGACCGGTCTTCATCCCCCTGCATCTACCCTTCCTTCGACCCCGCTTCCTGTCCCATCATTCTTTCCATCCATTTTTTGTACCTTCCCGCCTCTCAGCTCTCCATCTCGTCCCGCTCCATCTCCCTCCCCGCTCCCTGCTGCCTTCTTCCTGTCCCCCTCCCTCCCAGCCCGTCTGATCCTCTTTCCTCCCCACCTCCGTCCCCACCCCCTCTCTTCCCCGCCCCTCCCGCCTCTCTTCCCTCCCTCTTTTCCCTCCTTCCCTCCCTCTCTTCTCTCCATAACCTAATCCTCACTCACCCACTCCCCCCTCCCTTCTAGGCTGGTCCTGCACAGGCTGCTCCTCCGCGCTCGCCAACCGCC